ATATTTGGGCTCTTAAGATCCGCCTTGTTGAGAGCTTTCGATTGCCGTTTTCCCCGTCTTTCTACGACCATCGGTTCGGAAGTTAGACAGGGGGGGCAGAATCTGCCCCCCCCCCCCTCCCAGCAGGGCGCGTATGGCTGAATAGCCCAGCGCGGCGCGGGTTAAGATACCAAAATATGGAGAAGAGGACACCACTGCCCTCGAACGGATAATTTTTGGTTAAGTTAGTTGGGTCGTTGGTTGAGTTAACCCGCGACCTGGTGGGGGGGGCTATTTTTTGCCCCCCCCTCCAGACTTTTCGATATATCTCCAGAACCGCTCCGCCGATCGTCACCAAACTTTCAGTACCCTCCCGGACATCAATTTTACACATTGTGACCAAAAATTTTTCCAAAGGCTATGATACATTGGCCGGAAATGACGTCAGAGTGACGTCATGTTCTGCCGTTTTCGACCCAAAAAAGGGTTTCGCGGAAAGAGCTGTCAGGCCTATAGCTTTGCGAATACAGAAAAATGATAAAGACATAAAAGCTGTAGATTGGACAGGGCTACAAAACTGCTATCTCGGATTTTTGAAATTTTTGGATTTTGACCCCCAAAAATCAAAAAATAGATTTTTTGAATATAATTATCGAAAAAATCCAAAAAGTTTTTTGAATTTCGCAAAAACCGGAATATATGTGATAGTCCTTACCGCCTTCAATCCACATACCAAATTTAAGATTGATACCTCTTTTTTTGGCGAAGTTATAGCGAAAAACTGTTCAAAATTGATGACGTCAAATTTTCAAACTCAATTTTTAGCAATTCTAGACCCCGTAGCGCAAAACAAAGACCAACATTAGACTCCCCGTGACGAGCTGCATCGAACCAATACCCATTTAATGCAAAACTATCAACTTCAAAATTTGACCTTTTTTTGCCTGACCTTGACCTGACCTTGACCTGAACTTCACCAGAAAGTGACCTAAGCCGTACCTGATAGTCTTATAACCAACACCATTGTGTTGGAAATAAAAAATTGGCCATAAAACATGTATCACACAACCTTAGTAAAGTTGGGCTCATGTGACCTGACCTGTGACCCTTGGTGACCTGACCTGTGACCTGACCTGGTATTGCCAGTGACCTCTAATAGCAACATATCTACTAGGCAACTGACGCCCTACCGCTGATTCTCGACAAAATGCGTTTTCCTCGGTGTTATAGCGCATTCCCTAGAAGACCCGTGAACGGTGAAACATTTCATCTTTGACCTGACCTGTGACGTCATCGGTGACCCCGAGGTCAATGAAATTTGGTTTCCTTCGACAAATTTGACAGGCCTTTTGAACGCCGTTTGAATTTTGCGGATCCGTCCAGTAGTTTCGGAGATACGAGGGGGGGGGGCAAAAAATAGCCCCCCCCCCACCAGGTCGCGTTATAAACAGACCCCACCAGGGCGCGGGTTAAGTTGGGCCCGGCGTAACGTGATTGGCCAGCGCTCCTATCCAATCCGGTGCGGCAGCGAGCGAGCCTCTATCCGGGTGCAAAAACTGATTAACATTACGAGCGAACGACAAGTGCTCAAAATTTTGATATTTTGTTTATAGACAAAAATTGGTGCTTGAGCTGAAATACCGTATGCTAAAATTTCAAGCTAATTGGACAAAAACTGGAGAAATTATCGCCGAAAAACAGGGTCTCATGGGGTTTGAAATGCATAGTATAGGCGACTGCGTGGGTCGCGTGCTCCAGGCGGTTGTTCATTGGCCGCTAACCCGCACCGATGAACAGTGGGGATTTTTCCGATCTAGCGCCTATTAATTCAAAAAATATTTTTTGGATTTTGGTTTATATTTTGTGTCAGTAGGGCTAAGAAATGTCTGAATTTTTCATATATGGCATTGTTTTATCTGTATGTCCACAGCAAAACTAGGAAAAAATGCGCCCAAAGTTCACACTCATGCGTGATTACTCAATGGGCTCAGCAAGGCCCGAAAGTATAGCTCAATTTCATTGTCCTGTCCTGTTGGTTTTAATCTTGCGAGGTCTTAAAGTTGCATATCGTCTGAAAGGTACCTTTATTAGGAATGGAATGGCAAACAGAAAGTATGCCACAACCTTACTAAGGTCACAAAAATGCCCTTTACAAAAAACCCTTACAGACACCATGTTGAAGGAATGGTATTCTAAATAAATGTAGGAAATCAACAATGTTCTCCACACTTTTCCACTCCGAAATATATCCTATCGAATTCCCTACTTTCTTCTGCACAAGACAACGCCTAGTTTGGCTGCCGAAACTTGCCTGAACACGGAATATTCACATTAGAGTATCTTAACACCCCACTCGAGGAGCGCTAGGGCAAACAGCACGATATAGGTATGTTCCGGACATAGGCGAATAATTTTACTTCGTGATTTATATGATGCATATTTTCTGAGACACATTCATTAGGAATAGGATGACAAGCGTAAATTATACATACCGTAACCTTATTAACCATCGCACTTGTGGGGAGGGGGAGGGGGAAGGGGTCGGATAAAACCCCATGGTTTTCCGCAAATTACTCGCGCAAAAAGCGGCCGATCGCGCCGAAACTTTCGGTACCCTCGAGATCATCAATTTTACATCTAACCTAAAAATTTCATGACTCTGACCCAACTGACCTTTGACCTGTGGCATATTTCTCGAGACCATGTTTGGCCGGAATCGCGATTCGGCGTATGCCAGCTCACATTATCCGCGGTTTCCAGTCTTTTTGGGGTTTTAAACGTTCAAATATGTGAAATGATGTTGGTGCCATGCATAATGGTGGATGTCAAGGTCACGTGAAGGTCAAGTCAAGGTCATTGACCTTTTGATGACCTTGGTTTCTTTTTTTCGAGTTTTACTTGTTTCCAGGGTAGTTTTTGATGCTGATTTCGATTTTAGCAGCCATTTGAATATTTACGAAGTAGTTCTAGTGCCTTCGTTCCATGTTACGAAGCTATCAGTAGTAGGTGACACTTCTATGGATGGCCGGCAGGACGCCTACTAGGTAATTGATCTAACCTGACCTGACCCGACCTGGCCTAAATGCATAAAGACATCGTCTGTGATCAAAACTAACATGAAATTCGTGATCAGCACCCCAAAATACCCCGTAACACCCTAACTTTGCGAAGTTTCAAGAGGTCTCGATTTCCCAACTTTAGTTGGGTCATTAAACTGACTTGGAAAGTCAGCTTATGACCTTGGACTTTGAAATTGGATATATTCGGCCTAATTTCGTCATAGGCAGCACGCTTGACTTTTCCGCGAAGCTCTAGCTTGATCAGGGGCCAAACGGCTGAGCGGGGGGTCCAATTGAACCCCTTATACTATGTTGATTATCAGAGCTGGGCGCGTTCCTCGATTTTCGGTAGTGCGTTAGCGTTCCTGCGTTCCTCCGGCCGCGGTTAGTGCGTTCCTGGAATAGCGTTCCTCAATTTTTTTTTTCGCTCGGTGCGTTAGCGTTCCTGCGTTCCTGCGTTCCTCCCTCAAAAATACCGCCGAACCACGCGGCGCGGGCCCAACCAAACACGGGGCGAATCGATCACAGAATACCCAGGGGGTGTCGAAGTCTAGTAGGAAAATCTGGCAAATTCCCTGCGTGACGTCACGTCGGGGATGACCGACGGCACCTTGCACTGAAAGATACGGCAGAACGGCTATTTTTGAAAAATGATTAAAAATACTTTTGTGCTGTTATGACGCATAAAACGCTTATCAGCATGTTCCTCATCATGTGATAAAGGCATATCCGTGGTCGAAAATAGCTGAGCCCCTCCCAATTTCCAACCACCGACCTCATAAGCAAAGGATGTAAGCGTAATCCTTAAGGGCGACTTTCCTATACATATCCGTACATATGCGTCCTTATGGAAATCGGTAGTGTGGCGATTGGCGACGCGCGCGACATCTGTGTGGCGACTGTGGCGACACCTGGTGGCTGCTTTTCTGCTGTATGTAGGCATTGGGGTTTTGCCAGATGTGGTTCCTACTGCTACACCACTATGTTGACCCAATACTAGAAAAGTTATTTTGCTAGTAAAAGGCAAGCAAATTGAAAGTTGATTTATGAAATTGCTTATAAATGATTACGAGATAATAATAAAGAAATTTTGATTGAATAATTATTTAAATAATCAACCGTGAAACTATATTCTGGTAGGTTTAGTAGAAATAAGTCCGTGCAACCTTGTATTTAGGGCCTTGAGAATACCCAGAATGGCGACGTGGGGCAGAAAAGCAACTCGACATATCTTTTCCGAATCGAATATCTGAAATACGTTTTACCAATATCATCCGTAGAGTTTTCAACAAAAATACGACCTGCTTAAAAACAATAGTTAAGTTAAAAGATGTATCTTAGTAAAAGTTATCATATTTACTTTACACATTTAATGCCTGAAACTGAATCGAATAGTAAACATCACCACTAAAAATATTTACACATTTAATGCCTAAAACCGAATCGAATAGTAAACATCACCACTAAATCTAAGCAAGCCTTCCTCGATTCGACCGACAAGTGGCGCCTCTACCGGCAAACACACGTATTCGAGATTCAAACATTTGACACAGAGGTCATTGGCAGCAATATAATTTTTCGAGTGGTTCCGCAAGAACGCAGGAACGCTTCAAAATTTCGGGTGGTGCGTTCCTCTTACTTGCGTTCCTTTGAAAAACTTTGCGTTCCTGCGTTCTTGCGTTCCTAAAAAGGGCGGTGCGTACGTACGGAAGAACGCAGGAACGCACTAAAGAAACGCACTTGCCCAGCTCTGTTGATTATGCACATTTACAGGTAAAATTCTCACCAGGACACACCAGCCAACATCTGTGCACAATCTGGCTACAATTCTACCTATGGTTTGCCCTCTACGAATAAATACGTGCTAGATCGGAAAAAAATCCCCACTGTGCGGTGCAGTGACCGGACGCCCTGAGGCCAGCTGGGTCACGTGACCTGACCCGGCGAGGGGCGGGATCAGGCGGGACTCTGATCGCAGCGGCGGCGCCGGGCGGCCGTGCCGCGCCAAGAGTGAAAGGCTGATGGTGCAGTGCTGCGCGGAATGAGTTGTGTTGCAAGTGTAATGTGCAATACCTATCAAAGATGGCTTTGGAATCTGCAGCCGACCTACGTATGGACCATATAGCTACGGTTTCAGTTTTATGCTACCCGACCCGCATCAAACGAAGTTACGTAGGAGGGAGGGGGGGGGGGCTAAATGATACGAGGAAGGTTCCTAAATTGATAACTTTCTAATAACGTCAACAAGTAGCAGCTAAAAAGGGTTACCTACTTGAGCCGTAATCATGGTGCGGTACCCATCATTTCCAATGTATCCCGACTGCGCATGCACGTACTGTGGTGACTGCAGGTTAAGTCACTGTTTTCTAACCAAAAACATTTTAGTTGTAGCGTCTGTAATTAATCACCTATTTTCCCCATGTTCTGTTGCGCTTGGTTTGGTTATCATTGGTGTAGATTCCTGCAATGCTCATTCAGAGGCGGATCCAGCTCAGAGTTTATTTGGGGGGGGGCAAACCATAACAATTTATCGATTCTTTCCATGCATCGTCCATAGGCGTAATGTTAAAATTATGCCATTGGGGGGGGGGGCAAATACCCATTTACCCCCCCCCCCCTGGATCCGCCACTGTGCTCATTCCATTTCTCATGATGTGCCTATTTTTTTGTACCAATTCGTTGCGTCGCTTTTTTCAGGAATGAGGCTTTCCTGCTTCGGTGTACGCCCAAATCTCGCGGAGTTAGCCTGTCCCAGTGCAAGCTTGTATGTATAGCCAGGGCTGCATTTTTTGGCACCATGGGAGGAGCTTGTTTTGAAATCCTGATTCGAGCATCGTACACAGGGGCGGAGAATTGTCATAATCCCAGGGCAAGGGGTGCTTTTCTAGCACCTAGCGAATGGAAGCGTCGAATTCTTGCGTAGAAAAGCCCATGCCCCATAGGTAGGTACCTTTTCCCACCACCATCACACTCCTCGCGACTTACGCAAAGCAATTTGTGTCTCAGACTCAGACGTAATATAAGCACCTCGGGAGCACTATTTTATGGTGCCTTGAATTTCTGGGGGTGCTCGAGCACCGCCAAACCCCTCATTCTCCAACTCTGATTGTGCATCTTTGTAACCTCACGGTCACGTAACATGAGCGGAAGCCTGCGATCCAAGTTTAAAGGGGACCTCCCACCTCCAAAAAAAAATTGATAAATTGGCATAAAAGTGATGAGCCTCATAGAAATTTCTTGACCTCCCATAGGTCAATGGGGTAAAAGTCAACCCTCTTTTCCCACTAAAACGGATCGGAATGGCCCAATATTCCATGAATGACATTTACGATCAACCTTGACTACCTTGAGGCATTTTTGCTCTTGGGCAGCTGTAAGGTCATGTGACGTCATCAAGGGTCATCAAAGGGTTTTTGCTAACAACTCTGAGATACAGCCGCGCGGATGGTCTCTGTTCAGCTCGTGAAGGTGCATCAAATAATATGAATGATGACCTTGAGGTCACGTGATCTGAGGTCAACCTTTGAACTTGACCTTTTGAGGTCAACGCATATATTATTCGATGCAGATTGACGAGAGGATCACGATGGTGCCATTAGTTAGTTCCTAGCTTGGCTACTTCGAAAGGTATTCGAGAAATGCTCTCTTCATTTCTAGCGCCACCATTTTGGCTTTTTTTACCCCTATGACGTCATCTTTTATCTGACCTGAAAATGACCTTTGTAGAAATTGTAGACCTTGTCCGTGCGTATCCCATGCCGTTTACCGCTTGTCGTTATCTTGCTTCGTTCTCGAGATCTCGGGGGCGGGGGGGGGGGGGGTAAGTTGGCGCGGACCCCCGACACCCGCGCAGTCGGTGCGCACTGCGCGGGTTTAAAGTGCGGCAGATGTTGCGCGCAAAGCAGCATATACCACCACAGCTTTACAAAGATTTTAATATAAGTTTTAAAATCGCTAGATCTTCGCTGACGTCACAAATTCAGAGAGGGCATTCCAATACATTAGCCCCTCTGAATCCAAGTGCTGCAACTTATAAATTACCTAAATATTTTCTATTTAAGGCATTTCTCGCCGTTGCCAGTGCCGAAACCGGTGATTGTGAGCCAGGGACCCCACTTTGGCTATCTCCAAAGTGGGGTCCCTTTGGCTAACAATCTAATATTGTCAACCCTCGCCCGTATAGGGGGGGGGGTCGAACGGACCCCCCTCTCTTCGGTTTTTCGCGAATAACTCGCGTAAAAAGCGGCCGATCGCGACGAATCTTTCAGTACCTTCGCGTTAATCAATTTTACACCTACCCTGAAATTTTCATAGCCCTGACCCTAATGACCTTTGACCTGTGACCTACTTTTCGAGACTATGTTTGGCCGGAATCGCGATTCGGCGTATGTCGGCTCGCATTAGCAGCGTGTTTGCAGTCTTTTCGTAGTTTTAAGCGTTCAAACATGGGATATGCTGTTGCTCCCATGTATGAGGGTGGGTGTCAAGGTCACCGGAAGGTGAAGTCAGGTCATTGGCCTTTGATGACCTCGGTTCACTTTTTCGAGTTTTCATGTTTCTAGGTCAGTTTTTGGAGCTGAATTCGAATTTAGCAACCATATAAACATTTACGAAGTAGTTTTGGTGGCTTCGTAACATGTTACGAAGCTGTCAGAGGCGGTTGCCACCTACTACGAATACCCTTACTGGTTGACCTGACCTGACCTGACCCGACCTGGCCTAAATGCATGCAGACATCATCTGTGATCAAAACTAACATGGTATTCGTGATCAGCACCCCGAAAAAAACCCATAGCAGTCACGCTTTACGACTTTCTAACAGGTCCCGATTTTCCCGACTTTTGGGTCACTGACCTGACCTGGAAGGTCAACCGATGACCTAGGACCTTAAAATCAGGCGCGTCACCACGAGTCTGAAGTTACTGGGGACCACATGGAGGGCCGCGAAGACCAAATATGATATTTCAGGATCAGCCTTCGCCGGAGTGTGTGTATGGGGGAGGGGAGAGGGTGGGGTGGGGGGCGTTTTTGGCCACACCTGCCAGCTTTTTTTTTGCGCGTGTAGGGAAAACTGCGGCGCGCACCGCCGTGAAACTTTTTTTTAAGGTTTTTTTTATTTTTCTCAGTCACATAGCTCGTTATACATACCAACACATATCTTCCAACAAGCACGCATCACATACATAGGTACATACAACACAACCAGTGAAACTTAGACCACGGAAAGTAAACAATCATATAATCGTTTATGTGCTTCGAGCTGTATTCTACTTTTTCTATTTTCTTGACACGAACTTTTATTTATTTCAGCCAAACCATAGCGCCTAGTGAACTCCCTCAACGCTACAATGTTAGGGGAGCTCTTTACAACCTTAGTCCTGTATATATACCGTTTTACAATCAAAAGGATCCTCTGTGTAGCGATCTGCACGTCCTCCGCTATTTCCAGATCCTTTCCTATACCCATTATGATTGTCACCTTATCTATCCTAATTCGAATGCCGAGCTTGTTTCTCATAAGATTTTCTAGTTTTTCCCAGATACCCCTTACCTTGTGACATGTAACAAATAAATGAAGTAATGTCTCTCGTTCAGCATTGCAAAAAGTACATAAGGGACTGCAATCCGTAAACTTTGCTGCAAAGGTGTTGGTAGTCAGTATCCGATGCATAATCTTATCCTGAAACCACAGTAAGCTAGTGTCCTTTGTACAAGAAACAAACCTTCGATAAAGTTCGTCCCACTGAAACTCTGTTTCTAAATCCCGATTCCATTTTTCTTCTGATTTAAGGGGCAATTCTTCAGGTCTATAGTTAAATCTAATTAATTGTTTGTAATAATGTCTGCATCCTGTTAAGGGTATCAAAACTGCTTCCAGCGCGGGCTGCATCTTGGGTCCTACCATACGATAGGGCACTTGCCCAGTAAAGGCCTTTTTTATGGCTCTTAAAATGCCCATGTGCTCAATCATTGATATTCTCGTTCGATAGGATTGCGTAAAATCAACATATGATAAACATTTCCCTGCAGATGACCAGAAATCGCCCACATACGCACTACCCGAGTCAATCAGCCGTTTATACCAAATTGCTTCTCCACCTCTCTTAAAAAAAGACGAGAGGCATAAGGGCTGCGAATGTATACTTTCAGACAAAACCGGAAAAGTTTTCTGAAACTTATTCCATGCTTTAACGACCTCCTGCCAGAAGGGATTCATTCTTACCGATTCCATTTTCTTTCCACTCAAATCCCCACACGTAAATAATAATTGACTGTTTGGAATGACATTTTGCATGACATGTTCATAATCCTTATCAGAGCATATTATTCTTTTAATCCACGACAATTTCATGGAATCATTAAAAGTACGCAAACAAGGGATACCAAACTTCCTAATCATATGAGTACGTTTAATCTTATCCTGTCCATTGTCCCAGACAAACTTGAAAAACTGTCTTTGAAGTTTTACGATAAGGTCTTCTGGAGGACCAGGTAATACAGTTAATAGGTTCGTTAGTTTCGAAAGTGCTAGCGTTTTGAGTACCGTGCGCTTACCGTACACAGTAAGCTTTCTTCTGAGCCACCCCTTCAGAAGGTTTCTAATATCGATCATTTTTGCTTCAAAATTTATTGAGCTCATATCTAGCATGTTGCTTGTAAAAATAATGCCCAAGTACTTAAATTTTTCTTTAATAACATCAAACGAAGAATCAGTTACAAACGCAGGAGCCTGAAAAGACCCTAGCCACAAAAGTTGTGTTTTGTGCATGTTTAGGAACAGACCAGAAATCAAGCTGAACTCGGATACCGTTTCCACACAACTAGTATAACTGCTATACGTTCCATCTAAGATAAAAGTACAGTCATCTGCATATTGTTCAACTTTTTTTTCCACATCACCTATCCTGTATCCTGAAATGGAAGCATCATTCTGTATCATAATCCCTAATACTTCTACGCAGAGAATGAAAAGCAGCGGTGAAATACAATCACCCTGCCGACAACCTTGGCTTATCGGGAAAAA